TCTATCTAGGAGGCTCAGTTTATATGGATAGTTTTTATTTTTTATTATAACAAGCTGCAATGAAAACAAGCAGAAATGAAATAAAAGTAACGACTTTATCTGTTGTCTTGTCTTGTCTTTTTAAAAATGTAAGGAGTAAAAAGTACACTGAAAAATAATTACTCAAGTAAAGTACAGATACCCAAAAATTCTACTTAAGTACAGTAAAGAAGTATTTGTACTTAGTTGCTTTACAACTCTGAAAAACCATAAATGTGTCCTGAGGATCACTGGAGGGATCCTGGGTGCCATCAGTGGGACTTGTACAACCATTTAAGAACCATAGATTTACATTTTAGTTTATAGGAAGTTAATGAATGTGTGGGAGTTTGGTTTGTTTAAGAACATTTTTCTTTGTATTCTTGTGTGCCAGTAACATTGATTTGTGGTGTTTGAGTTTGTTTGGGTGTAAACTGGGTTGTCCATGCTGCATGACTCCTCTGTAGGGATGTTTTATTCTGTCTTTTATTTCTCAGCTCTTTCTGTCCAAGCCTTAACACCATGTTGAGCTGTCTTTATGCTTTGTTGGCCAACAACAGAGCATAAAGTGACTTTTATTCTATTTTTTTAACTCTTTTATTCCCGTTCTCTTCTTGTTTCCTTTCTGTTGTTTTTTCCTCTAATGTCTTCCCAGCTTGACCCTTGGAGGCGTCAGCATTGATAAAAGTGACCCGGACACAGTGGAGGCTTTAGTGGGTCAGATGGTTGTGCTACCCTGCAGAGTCAGCCCTCCACCTTCATCCAGCATCACTGTAGAGTGGAGAAGAGATGGTGTTCCTCTGCCCAGTCAAAGGTCAGCTCTGATACACACTGCACAGCTCAGGTTATGAATAACTCAGCTCAAATTTACAGTGTTTGTTTCCTCAGACATCACCAACAGCCCAGTGGTTCCTTGTTAGTTGGTCCTGTCCTGACGTCAGACTCTGGCTGGTTCTTATGTGTGGCCACTCGAGAAGGAGAAAGAGATCACCGCTACGTTTACCTTTCTGTCTCAGGTAACATTTGACTGATGTGTGTCATGGTCTGTCTTTTCTGCAGTGTTTCCCATGTGTGTCTGTGCCCTGCTGTCTGTCATTCCTCCAGCCCCACCCACGCTCACCTGTTTCCTCATGTCTCCTCCAGGTGTTTCTCATTGTCTCTCATTAGTTTGCCTTTATATTCTGTGTCCTGTCCTCAGTGTTTGTCAGGTCATTGTGCTGTCTTCACCAGTGGCAGTAGCGGATCTAGGATGTTTTCAGTGTAAGGGGCCACCAAGGGGCCACAATATTTATAGAGGGGCCAAGTTATTCTACACACAAATCCCCAGTTTTTGCAAGGTTTATACATTTAATCAGTCACACGTGTTCAAACCCTTGTAAAAGCTTGCACAGTAAATTCTCATCAATTTTACATCTTTTTTTACTCTACATAAATAAAATACTCTCAAACACACAACATGTAAGAAAATCTACCCATCATTGTCAGTAAAAAATACTTTTGTTTCTCCAATAAAACTGACTTTCCTATTTGACTCACTGGCGCCACTCGTGGTTGGAAGTGGAACTGCAGCCACCATCATTGTTTTTGGGCAAGGACAGATGAGTGAAAGGACAGGGGCGCTTCAGGAGGCCAATCAGATTTCAGATGGGGCCAATGCCCCTGTGGCCCCGCCCCTAGAACCGCCCCTGCTCGGTGGTGCCTCCATGTTCCTTGTGTTTTGTGCCAACACTTCGAAGTTTTTTGGCGCTGCCTCGACAGCGTTTTTGCTTTAAATAAAGACTTTTGTTTTAGCATTCTGAACCTGCCTGTGCTCTGGGTTGATCCTTCCACGTATCCTCACAATATTTTTCAATTTTATTCATATAACTGAGCTGATTGTTGTCTTAATTTTTTAAAGCAATATATTAGTGTGGACAAGGCAAACTATGAGAGTTTTTGCTGGTTTTTGTTTTAGAAAATGTTTCACTTATCCTCTGAGGAGCTTTTTTAGCCCAAATAAACTCTGGACATCCAGGCTGTTAACTCAGAGGAAAATCTCTCTCATTCCTGAATGGTTTTAGTTTTTACCGGCCTGGCCACAGTAGGGATGTTTTGGTCACATGCATGATGATGTGAACTGAACTAGAATTATTGAGGATTAGTTCTAATACTAAAAAAATCACAATTGAAATGAAAGGAGGCAGAAAGAAGAAAAAAATCTTATAATATCTGCCCCTTTTTTCCAAAATTAAATTCAAACAATAATAACAAAAAAACAAAACAAAATAAAAACTTCAATTCCATTTCAAACAACAACTTTTGATATACATTATACAGTTTCATATTTCTTTAACAAACTTATTTTAATCATTCTCTTAAACAAACACATTGAACCAACATTTTTATAATCACTTTCCAGATTATTCTACAATCTTATTCCTTGAACTGAAGTGCCTCGATCCTTCAAATTTGTTCGAATTTTAGGTTTTAAACTGTGATGTTGAGTAAACACAGTTACCTTCGTGTATCAGAAAATATTTAACATAACTGATTTGATTAATAAAGTGACTTGCACATTGTGGGACAATGTCAGAGCAAAATAAACCTTTTGACTGTGGAGTTAAAGTTTTAAATCATTCTGTCCTGGTCTGCGTAGTTTAACTACAGGGTCCCAGCATTTTACCCAGGTTAAACTAAGAGACCAACTTATCCCACTCATTGTTGAGAATTAAAGCCCTCAATCCTCAGACTCCTCTTCTCTCCACAGAAAACTAAAATATTTATTCATGTCATGTTACCAAACAGAACAACCTGAGAAAATTAATCAGATTTTCTAATGTCACAAACAAATAAATAAATAAATATTATTTGTGTTTATAATATTAAATAAAAATACACATGTTCAAATGAAAAGAAAAAAAAAACAACAAAATTGAGAGAAATCTCAATGAATATTTGCAGACTTGTGTTCTCTCAGTTGTTCCAAATTTCAAACACAGTAGTTGATCTAAAGAGAAAAACGTTTCTAAATATGTCTCATTTTAAGTTCCCTAAATCTGTAAACTCAAAACTCTTCTTCGCCCAGATATGGTTATATTATCTGAATAAAGTCAGCTCTGTGACGTTCTGTAAGTTCTCAGTGTGATTTCTCTGTGTTCCTCAGAGCGAACTCCTCAGCTTGTTCCTACCTCACTGCCTAAAGATGGAACATTCCAGAGGTCTGGATATTTATTCACAACGTCTACATACCTTAGTAATCTGAAATATTTCTGATGTTTGTTGCTGTCCTGCATCAACCTTTAACTCTTCTCATATTCTTTAGGTTCAGCATTGAGCGCTCGAGCTCATCGATGATAGAAATGCGAACAGGACAATCTGTGACACTGCCCTGCACCATCGTTCCTCCTGCAGCTCTGCAGCATGTCAGGATCCAGTGGACTAAAAATGGACAGAGCGTCAGTGACTCCAGGTACGAACTTTGGAGCTCTGATGAGTTTTACACTTCATAACGAGTCAATTTATTTTGAAATAACTGATGTTCTGGCAAGTTTCCTAAATGTCTCAACAGAACATGATTAAGTCTAATAACTAGTGGTATTACCACAAACAGAGACACCAAAGAGTATTATTTTACTGGTTAAAAAGCTCCTCCGTGGCAATGCGCCGGGGGTGGATGAGGTTTGCCCGGAGTTCCTAAAGGCTCTGGATGTTGTGGGGTTGTGTTGGTTGATGTGACTCTACAATATTGCGTGGACGTCARAGGCAGTTCCCCTGGATTGGAAGACCGAGGTGGTGGTCCCTCTATTTAAAAAGGGGGACCACAGAGTGTGTTCCAACTATAGGGGGATCACACTTCTGAGCCTCCCTGGGAAGGTTTATTCAGGGGTCCTGGAGAGGAGGTTCTGTCTGATAGTCGAATCTTTGATTCCTGGTCCTGGAACACTGGACCAGCTCTACACCCTCAGCAGGGTCCTGGAGGGGTCATGGGAGTTCAACCAGTCTACATG